GTTTACTTTTTTAAAATAAATAATTTATTTCCACTCACAGTATTGTTAAAATAATAATAAATATACAAAATAATGTACTTGTTGTTATTATTATTATTATTAATTATTTATAAAAAATAAATGAAAAAAACCGGCAGCGAATAATTACACAAGTGACGCGTTCGAGGCTTCGAGACCGACTAACGCGTCACGTTCCCGCGCGGTCCTGCGAGATGGCGCGTCAGCGCTCGCGAGTACTCGTCAAACTTCGTGTGAGTCCCAGCGACCCCCTCCGACCACTGAACCGAGAGCATTCTCCCTCTCTTACTCCGATGGCGACACATAATTACAATGGAGGTAATATATAATAATGTTACTATACGAGATTTTTTAGATTAAAAATATAAACAGCAAGTATTGATTTTTTTGAATGGTGTGGCGGCAGGAGTTGTAATTTAAATATTTTTCACTTGTTTGTAGGTATTGTCAAGCGAGAGGTGTGCTGGGAAAAATCAGGGGGCGCGTTCTGAGGGGAGTTAGAATAGACCTTTGTCCCCAGCTGGTTTTTTTTTGTGGATTTAGATGGACATATTGGGGTGTAAACCAGAATGGATACTTTACCCTTAACTTTGTTACGGGGTTGTCTTTTAATAATACAATAATAATAGTATTCATCGCATGGCTAATGCTGGATCTATAAAATGCAAAACAGGATCAGTTGGAGGTTTATAAGTTGATATTTTTTATTAATGATACTGAAGTCAAGCGACGTTTAAAAATTTTTTGATTTTTTTTATTATGAAATTTAATTTAGCGTGACATTAAAGTTAGCAGTCACTTGACCATTTTTTAATAAATAAATTTGCTCCAAAAAATTATTGCTATATAAAATTTGATTTTTTATTTTTTTAATTTTCTAATTGTCAACTTTTTTTTCTCATTTTCTTTGACTCATCAATTTATTTGTTAAAAAAAATCTTAAAATTATAAAATACCTCCTAAATTAATTTTCAATAATTTAACAGATATTTAATAACTTTAATAATTTTTCTAATAAATAAATTACTGCATTAAAAAAATAAAAAGAAAAATTGACATATAGAAATTTTAAAAAATTAAAAATGCAATTTTTTAAAAATAATTTTTCAGTACTAAATTTTTTGTTAAATAAAATTAAAAAATGGTTTAGTGACAGCTAACTTTAATATCGTTTTTTTATTAATTAAATTAGAACTAAAAAAAAAGATTTAAAAAAAATTACAATTATAGTTTTTAAAATTTTCTAGAAATTTTTTTTAGAATGATTTTTTCAATAAGAAAAATCATAAATATTATTAGATTGCTAATTATTATTTAAAAAAAAAATAATCGGTTTATTTATTTGAAACAATTTGAATATTTATCATATAATTTCAGCGGTGTGATGCTAAACATTTGAAGCATGCGGTAAGGACTCGAGTGATTAACAAGAATGACAAAATAAACTGGGTAACATGTTTTTGCAAATTTAAGATCCGTGATTCATATGGATGTGTACATATATTGTATATTTATTATATATTGTAAAGAAGATATGAATAGTAGACAAGTAAGCCGGCGAATTGGCCTCGACGAAATATGTCAGGCTGATGCGAGCTGAGATGCGTATGGAAGAACCAGTCTTAGGGGTATAGGTGTATGTGTAAGGTACATATATGATATGCTCCTCTCCCCTTTATATTATACTTTGCTTTTAACCAGACAATTCTCTCGATGGCCAGCAGGGACGGATTTTTGGCTGTTTACTGGCGCCGTGATTATTCAATTCTTTGTCTATGATTAAGTGGTATTTAAAATCCGTAAATTTATTGATAGTTTCTTGAAATTTCTTTAAAAAATCAATTGAAATTAATTTTTTTAAAAAATCTGCCAAAAAATTACTCTTTAATTTTGATTTATTAAAAAATGCTATTGTAGATATTTTTTTTTTTTTTTTTATAGAAAGTTCGGAGTTGGAACACAATCAATTATTGTCGTCTGCGGTTAGGGCTAATTAATTAGGCACGCGATCGAGCTTCCAATGCCAATTAAGACTTCAGTGTCTAGTTTAAATGGCTACCGACGTGCGAAAGACCTGTTCCTCTATACTAAACTCTAAACTCCGTAGTATGTAGTATAGTATTATATACAACTCTTCTATTCTTTGTATTCTCATATACATAATATAATAGCAGTATACCCTTTACTTTGAATATAATTTATTTATCCTTTTAAATGATGCATCCTATAAAGTAAAAGCGAAATCCGAGATCTCAGCTCTCCAAGATAGACCTTGGACCCTGAATTCGATTTGCATTGAGAATAGATCAAAAGGGTTTTTGGTGTAGGCTTTTATATTTTAGCCTGAAACATGATCGAACACTCACATCAACTCGTAATTAAGCCCGATGGATCCAGTTTTGTCATTAGCGGTACAACCAAAAATTAATACTCGCCCGTTAAAGACTTCACTCAGGCTGAGGGTCGCTTTTTACCTTTGCCGCGTTTCAAATAAAAAATAGTTTTATACAGAGGATGTTGAATTGCGAAAAATAAAATATGGATGATTAATTTGTAAAAATAAGTCTAATAAATTAACTTTTTTACTCAATAAAATTATGTAAGTCTAATTATAATTATTATTAAAATCTAATTATTCAAATGAATTATACAGTTATTTATTCAATTGAAAATATCTCACGTACTTGAAAATATCTTACTGAGCGACTGTTTGAATAAAAAAAAACGCATAATAATAAAATGAAAAAAAAAAAAAAGCAAAATAAATAATTTTATAAGGTTGAGAAAGAATATTATATTTTCTATGAGTCGATGTATGTAAACTTAATCACGCAATTCCGTTCTACTTTACATAGAATGTATGTGTTTTTTATTGTGTTTATTTATTTATATATTAATAAAAAATTTTTAAACGCGTTTATGCAATAGGTAAGTTAACATAAAAATAATTCAACAATGCCCATATTTGTGGTTTTAAAACGTGTTAAATTAAATATTTAATGGAAATTATATTTGTGTTTTAGGTTTAGTAGAGGTAAAAATTGGTAAAGGCGTTTGATGTTTATTGCGGTGACGTAATATTGAGCAAGTGTAAGAAGTGTAAGTAAAGCATAAATGTTGGAATATATTGTATATAATATAATAGGCTTATTGGCGGAATGGAACCCAGGACCGAGCGCTTTCCCACCGTAATTGCTTGAATTGAAGCGACCCAATAACCATTGCGTCACTTATTGTCATCATTGTTCTGCTCAACAGTATCAACATTCGCGGTTTTTCCGGGCATCTATTCATATTCTCATATTTAAGCTTTAATTATTACAGTTATTATTAATTCTAGTATATTAGAAGGTTTTTAATTATGTGAATTTATTTTTTTTAAATTCCAATTTTAAGAAAAAATTTAGAAAATTTTTTAATAAAAAAATTAAGTAAAATTTAGAGAATTTTTTGATATCTTTAAAATTAGATTTATTTTGAATAAAAATCAAAAATTATAAATTTAAATTTTAAATTCCAGAAATACTTGAATATAAATAACGTTGTTGTCAAAAACAAAAAGTTAATAAAATAACAACTTTCACCTTACTTTAACACCTTGAATCTGTCAATATCAATAATCCTTAAACAAACATTGCGTTGAAATAAAATATAAAATATAAAATAAAAATAAGAGAAACTTTAAATATAAGGTCAAGACCTGCAGACATAAAGACATAAATGACTTAATAGATAAAAAAAAAAAAACTGTATTTATGAGTATAAAAAATAAATCTCACATATTTCTCCCGATAAACGACTTTATAAACTCCAGTGACTTAATAAGCGTAATATCTGTCATGTAGATTTAATTATGAATTAATAATTCATGGGATACCGTTCTAAAATGAGTCACTTTCATCATCCCGCCCAACCCGGCAAAATATCTGACTCAAATCACAACAAACTCATCAACTTATTGTACTACTATCAATATTTAATAACACAAATACACAAAGGTGAAGCGGTCAATAATTATTGACAGGCGTGTGTCGATCATTTAAAAACTTGTACATCGACCGTCGACACGCCTGGAAGATAAATAGACCATCGATTACCCACGCCTATTTCAATCTTTTATTTTTCCCTTTTCACCTACTTGCAATTATTTTTATAATATATTCAACAATTAATCTTCTCTGTTATTAAAAAGATTCCTTTTTTTTTATAAAAAATTTTCAAATTTGTCTTTTAATAATTTAATAAAAACAAGTTGTACTTTTATTTTAATAGTATTTATCATTAATCTTTATATTCTTGCCTAATGTATGTGTATATTCAGATAAAGTTGATTTTATAAAACTGTTATATTTAAATTTTTATAGAGTTACTTTACCTAGATTTATATTTTTATATATATGGTAATTATATGGATGAATGTAAAATACCAGGCGACAATTTTAAATTACAAGTATGAACATTTTTTATTATTAAATTGCGTAATAACATTAAGGTAAATGTCCTCATAATAAAACTCGTTTTGTTTTTATAAGCACATTTATGCATTTATTGTAACAAAGGTGAAGTATGACGGCTGTTAAATTTTTATTCACCGGGTTTTTTATCCTATTTTTAAAAGTGAATTGTCATTTTTTGAACTGTGATAAGAACCAATTATAAAAAAAAAAATAACTTATTTTTGTCGATATAAAGAGAATGCTCTAATCAACACTTTTATTGCTTTGTCTTCAATCGAATGGATTTTTAATTTCTGCTATCAGTTGTATAAAATTCGGTGACAAAAATAAACTCTTAGTGACAATAGTACTAACATTTTAAGCAGTGTTACATTCTGAACCGCGATGATGTGGAAGATTTTTTTTGTACTCGCATTAATTGCGAAGGTTGAAAACTTTTTAATTAATCCAAACACCAAATTTTCGGCAGGAACTTTAAATTTTAGTGAGTAAAATATAAATGAATTTTACGTAAAATATAGAAGAGTTGCTTATATATTTTTTGGCGATTTTATGAAGTCAATTGAACACACCGCTCAATTCCTTGAGAAGATGATAAATTCAGATAAATCTGAAAATGATTCTCCAGGAAATTCAAGTCGCTCTGAAGATTTTGATAAATTGAAAAATGTTAATGATTCTGATTTAATTGTAGCACCGATTTCCGAAGAAACAAGTGAGGTGTACATACCGGTGGAGAATGAGCAAAAAAAATGTAATGACAGATTTGATGTGGTAAGTAAAGTTTTTTTTAATAGCAAAATAATTTTTTTTTGATGTATCAAAATCTTTTTGAAATTATTTTAAATTTTTTAGTGCTCAGTTTCGTCAGTCAATGGAAAGCCGGAAAAATGTTGCCAAAATTACACTTGCGTACCAATAGGATCAGGCAGTGGATTTTGTTTGTGAGCTCAAGAAATCGTTTACTTAAAAATTCAGAATCTTGTAAGCAATAAATTTGAAAAATTCACTCTAGAACAAGATTTTTGTAAAATAAAAATCCACAAATCAAAAAAGAAGTTTGCTGAGTGTAATTTAAAAAAAAAAAAAAAAAAACCAAAGTCGCATTAAAGTAAAAGCATAAATTATTGACAGAATGTTTAAAAATGCGTAAGATTATTATGAACATATTAAGTAATTAAATGCATCATAAAATAAAATAGCACGTCAATAAATTGGTGTTTTTACCTTACAGCTTATATTAAGCAAAGTAAAATTGCGATAAACTTTACACTTTACCTAACAGTTTGTTAAAGAGATGATTTTGCTACGTGGGAGCTAGATCTAGAGTGACTTCCCGAGGTGTCATTGCCAACCCAGTAATGCATAGATAACTGGTGCACACCTAACCATATACCACGTATCATCAACTATCAAATAACTGCAACCGAACCCGAATGTGTCTTCCCATTAGATCCTAGCTGCAAATACGAGTCATTTTAATTGTAATTACACAGTTGAAGGGCGGCCACGACGAAGAGCGACTCCACGACAATCTATCATAAAATGATCCCCCAATTTATCAATCAAAAATCCAATCAGGGTGACACAAATTGAATTGCTCGTCGTTGTTTTTGAGATATCGAAGATTTCTGTTCTACGCATGCTATTTTATCATTTTACCCTAAAATTACAGATAATCGGTGATTGCCCGTGAGATTGTCCACCCGCGTTGTCATCAGATCGCTCCGTGATAAATCGGTAATGCAACACTTGAGACTCTCAGTGGGTCTTGAACTACCATGCATTATTGTCAATTATTTATTTATATTATTGAACTCTTCTTCTCTTCTTATACCGACAGTAGTGCTCGGTAATGCAATGGAGTACTCGGTATTTTATTGTTCCCCGTTCGCTGTAATCTCCATACTTAAACTTGGTAGTTTGAAAAGCCATTACCGATTACTGCTCTAGCTCTATCATCTGTGATTCACCCGCGAAAAATAATAAAGTAAAACAACAGACGTTTTATAGGCAATCGCAAATGTTTAAGTAGGTATAATACTAAATAGGGGAAATTAAAACTAATTGAATATTTTAAGTTCAAGGGTAATAAGTAGTTATAAATCAAAAGATTTTAATATTGAAGTAAACCTTATTTGGTTATGTTTGAGTGAAGTACTGTTTCCTTTAGATTTTTTATTTATTATTATTATTATTATTATTATTATTTTACTTTGTTTTTTTAATAATTTTTTTAGGTGCAAAAATATTCTTTAAATTAATTATAATTTTTTTTTGTTTATAATTCATTTTGTTTATAATTGCAAACAATAACAATAATAATAATTAAAAATTGAGGAAACTTAATTTTTATCAGCGTAAGCTCATTTTAATTTTGTTATCAAGACATGAAGTGAAAAAATGAAAAAAATTCTTAATGTTGGAATTTTTTAAAAATGATATACTGACAAAAGAGTTGATTTGTAAGTAATACACTAAATTTATTGTTAGTAAATTTTCTTTCGAAGCTTCCTTAAAATTAAATATGGAAGTCGTCATTAATTTTAATTATAACCTTCTTTTAGTATAAAATAATATAAAAAGTTATAAACTTACTTATAAGAACCCGGTGTATTGTAACAAGATCCATAAACACAAGGATCCCGATCACACTCATTGATATCATCAGCACAAGTCGGTCCAGTGAATCCCAACGCGCACTTGCATTGATACCCATTGTCAAGAGACTGGCACTCGGCGCCATTTTTGCAGGGTGCTGAAGAGCAATGGTCTTGTCTCTCGCAATATTGTCCTGAAAAAAATCAAAAAAATGAATTTAGCAACTATAAACGGTAATTTATAAAATGACAATGGCACGTGTTTCTTTATAAAATAAATCTAGCATCTCCCGGCTACTTAAATAATTGCTAACGAGGTTCGCGGCGAGTCCTTTGTACGCTATTATACACATTATATATAAAACGACTTAACTTGTGTGTAAATCACAGACACACACTACAAAAGAATTCACCGTACAGCAAAGTATCGTGTAATTAGTTTCGCTAATCAGCAATATCCGAGAAGATATTTTACTAACAATCTCAATCCGTTATCATGATTAATTTTTTATTTAATCATTAACTCGCTAAATTATGGCCCGTATAAAAATTTAAATCATTAGCTATATTTGAATACAACAATTACAATTGCTATTATTTTTATTCATTTATAATTGTAAGCTTGTCATTATTTATTTCTCACATAAATTCATAAATTTATCGATTTTTCAGTTTATTCAACAAGTGGAGATCCGGTCACACCTTATTAGTTATCACATCAGATAATTATGTTAAATACGAATATAATAACGGTATTTTATGTGATCGCGTAATCTGCATTAACATTGCCTTGAATTATTCGCCTACGCGAATCACAATTGCAGGTATTATGAGTACGTATTAATAGAACGTTGATATACATTATTTATTTATTTCTCTATTTATCTAATATTATAAAATACCAATTTATTATTACCGATTTTTTATTTCTGCTACCAGAACTGCTTTTTCCGATATCATTTTTTTATTTTATTGTTAAAATTATGTTTATATTTATATATATATTACGAACAAGGTCCTGCGACTCATGCAATTTTATTAGCATGATTCATCAATTCAATCTAGATTGCCTAGAAAATTATTGTACGGTTCATTAAATAACGAGTATGTAATTTAACATACAAATAATATTTATTGGCAAGTAGTTATTTTTAATTGATAAAAATAAACTTAAAAATTATACCGCAATTGGAAAGATAATTATAATTACATGTTATAGTTATAGATATTGCATAATTTAATTAAAATTAATTTATTCCAAAAAAAAAAAATTGTCCAGTTTCATGTACTGCAATTAATTTTATGATAAGAGTAACTAATTTATTTTTTCAATATAAAAAAATAAGTTCAGAAATAAATTTTAAATTTAAATTTATGCGCGCGCATCTGCCATTTTGTAAAACGACTCCATCTTGATGACAAGTTTTAGTTTTGAGTTTTTCTACAAAAAGTATGCTAAATTTTTCCGACTGAGTAATTTTTTAGAGTGTAAAGTTTTTTATATGATTTGTGAATAATTTTTTTGTATTAATATTTAAAAAAAAAAATAAAAATTACCTGTAAAGCCGAATGTACACGAACAAGTGTATTCTTCAAGTGAATGTAAAACACAAGCAGCGCCATTTAAACATGGAGATGAATTACATGCATTGTCCATAGGTATTTCACAGAGACTAGCACTAAAACCAATCGGACAATCGCAAGTGAAAGATGGCGTTCCATTTGGATTCTCTTTGACGCGACAAGACCCGCCATTTTGACATCGCGGGCCTTTGTGACAAGGGTTTAGATGCTGACAATATTCTCCCACATATTTTGATGTACAGCTGAAAAAAAAAAAAAAGAAAATAAATTAGTATTTATTACATAAATTTTGTATGATGTAAAAAATGTCAATCTTATAGTCAATAGTTCGACCAGATTAAACGAATTGATCTTTTAAGTAAAATTAAGGGTTTCTTTACTTAATTAAATAAACAATTTACGAGGCACGGAATAAAATACTCGGAAAATTAGAGCCAGATGGCCGCTAAAGGAAACTATTCCTTTGGATTTCTAAGCAGGAAGAAAGAGCACATGTCGTAGCACGTTTCCAGTGTGAGGCAAAGACAGAAAACGCTTAACTCAACTTTATCTTAGTATTTACTAGTGTAGGGTAGTGCAGTGTAATATAGTAAAGGTGATGCGTGCAGTAAAACAACTTGGCCACGTATCAATCACGATTCAGTGGCAATAAAGTTCCACTCTCCAGCTGCACTCCAAAGTACCTTCATTTCTACCGCAAAAAGACTAGAAACTTGCATTATCCTCATCGCACCAAGCCTCGGAAAAGGTATAGACACCACACTGCATTTTTTACTCTCCATTACCTTAATTCTTATCTTACAACTTTGCGCGCTTTGATGGAAAAAGTTGTAAATTACTTGTTAATATATCTTCAAATTTATTTCAACTTATCTTCTTACTCATAACTTAAACATTAAAATTACTACTACCAATTTAATATGTTTTATTAATAAATTTTTGCATTTTTGTTCATCGTGATATTGTGCAAAATAATATATTTATTGCGTTTATTTATGTATGAACAATGGATAAGACTTTCTGCGCTTGTATTTTTGTAAAATTTTTTTTTATTGATCTTTTTGGAAATAAAGAATTTTTTTGCATATTTTTTATCAATAGCAGATAAAACAATAATTAAATTTTAAAGACTGGTCAATAATCTAAATCGATCTAGGTGTAACAAAATAAAACACCTTTGAGAAATAATATATATGACTTAAATTTCTTCTTTTGATTATTAAAAACCATCAAATAATTGCCATAAAAAAAAAATTATTGTACAAACATAAACTTAAAAATTTATTCGTTGAATACCCTGATATCGATTCACATTTCGATGCAAATTGCTTCCGACTAGTAAGTACCAGATCGGTACAATAATCTCGATTCCATATTGAATCTCGAATAAAAATATAAAAAGGATCTTTCTTGTGCATGCATATATGTATAATATAAATATAAACAAAAATATAAATACAAATATAAAGCATATACAGATCCATAAAAGATAATGCACATAATCATGTCGGTATTTTTTACATTTAAAATTGAATATTGATAACTCATTCGTTAAATTGCATTCAGTACTGTTTCTCAACAATTTCTTTTTATACATATATGCATTGTATTGTAGAGGGAACATATAAGGACTAACCTTGGCTCATCGTACTGGACAATTGATTGAAACGAAAAGATCTTTTGTTGAATTACCATACAAATGTCAACTCAGTTTTATGCTAAATGTAAATTTTATAACAAAGAAAATTTTTGAGCGTTACTAAA